TGCTGCCAAATTTAACGCTTGAATACGCAAAATAGTCACCATTGCATTAAAAGGATAAATGCCATGCCCTCTCCTGGAGTTGCTCAACCTTCATTGGAACCACTCTTTCAACCCTTGCAAGCGGGAGACGTGCACCTGGCTAACCGCATCGTTATGGCTCCGCTCACCCGTTGCCGCGCCGGGGTGGAGCATATACCCAACGCGCTGATGGCTGAGCATTACGCACAACGTGCCAGCGCAGGCTTGCTGATAGCCGAGGCGACCATGGCGATGGAGGGTAACTCAGCCTTTTGGCAAGAGCCTGGCATCTACAACCAGGCGCAGATAGACGGCTGGCGTTTGGTGACCGATGCTGTTCATGACCAAGGCGGCAAGATATTTCTACAAATCTGGCACGGCGGGCGCGCTTGCCACCCTGCGCTGAACGGCGGCAGGCAGCCTGTAGCCCCCAGTGCTATTGCTATCACGGGTGATGAGGTACATACGCCTGAGGGCAAGCTGCCTTACACGGTGCCGCGTGCGCTGCAAGATGATGAGCTACCTGCCATAGTGGCAGGCTTCAAACAAGCGGCACAAAACGCCAAGGCAGCAGGGTTTGACGGCGTAGAAGTACACGGTGCGAATGGCTATTTGCTGGACGAATTTTGGCGCGATGGTGCCAACCAGCGCAGCGAGGGCAAATACGCGGGAAGCATAGAAAACCGTGCCCGGCTGATGCTGGAGGTGCTAACTGCCGTGTGCGAAGTCTGGGGTAGCGAGCGCGTGGGTTTACGCATATCGCCCTTAAACAGCTACAACAGCATGATAGACAGTGACCCGGTGGGTATTTCCACCTGGCTGGCGCAAGCACTAAACGCCTATAAACTGGCCTATCTGCACGTGATGCGGGGGGATTTTTTCCAACAGCAGCAGGGCGATGTGCTCAGCCCCATACGCCAACACTACCAAGGGGTGTTGATAGGCAACATGGGTTACTCGGCTGAGGAGGCCGCGGCCGCCATAGCCGCAGGCAAGCTGGATGCCGTAGCTTTTGGCACAGCGTTTTTAGCCAACCCCGATTTACCCGCCCGCATCAAGGCCGGTGCGCCACTCAATGCGCCCAACCCCGCTACTTTTTACAGCCCAGGTGCAGCGGGGTATACCGATTATCCCACGATGGGCTGAGTGTAAATAAATAACCTATTCTTTATCTACGCAAAGTAAAAACTACACACTGGAGAAAGACCAATGCGAACGACTCCCATCCATAACCTGATAGAGCTCATGCAGGCTATAGCAGCCAACGCACCGCAAACGCTGGAGCTGCAAACCTCCATCCTTTGCCCCTATGCCATTACCTTGCCTCCTGGCTACGCGCTAACGGGTAAAGATAAGGACAGTTGCATCCTCAGCTTTAACCATGGCGATGGCTTGGGTTTGACTGCGGATAACACCGTTGCCAACCTGACGCTGATGACCACGCCCGCCGCCCGTGCTATTTACACGCT